ACGGGCGGTTATATTAGTTATTTGATGTTTCTTTTTTTCCGTGTACAGTAACGTAAATGGTGCAAACGGTGAGTGAATGGCCAAGCTCTTTTTACATCGGTGACAAGAATGTTTTAGACGTTAGCTCACTTGGCGCAAATCGTCTCATATACAATCGACGTCTCACCACTCGATCGCGACATTCTTATAGTATTCGCTATAGACCTTGATTTTTTATTACGACCTCCATTGGCCATCCCGTTTGTCCCTCGCTAAGCCTACACCGAGGTGCGATTTCGACAAACTCGGAGGTTTGCATACAACGTTGAGCGATTTCGGTAACAAAAGATATTTGCGCAAAAGCGTTTGATATCACGACGTGCCGATCATAACGTGTTGATGAACACCCGCCGTGAAACCGCCCCTGCTTCGCGCGTGCGACCTTTTCTGCGAACAAATGTGTTGACACGAACGGCCTTGGCACCCTAATTACTCATCAGACAGTGCACACACAGCTAATTACACGTACGACACATACGTAATACCAGGGATAGATAATGTCCCCTGGTAATACCAGCACGTCATCTTACAGTAAAGTGCGCTGACGGTGTTTTTCTTGAAAAGATATGTCACGCGGCCTTAGCTGGCTCATACGGCCAGAGGTATTGCGCTACAAACGTACACGCTAGCGGAAATTGATCTAAATTACTATCGATGTGTGACCGGTAAAGACGGACTCGTAAATGATCGTACTTTGTGATAAATGTAGTGTTTCCACCAGGAGATAGGGTGTCAGACAGAAGGATAGAGACAGGGCAGACGGAGAATGTTGTGAGGGAGAGTGGGTGAGAGAGAGATGGGGAAGGGGGAGGAAGGGAATGGTTGGGTGGAAAATGAACGGGGGTGGATTGAAGGGGGGAGGGAGGGAGGGAGGGAGGGAGACGGAAGAATGAGAGGACATAAGAAACATGCTATTTCTCAAAGCAATCTTCTCTTGCACACTGCTCAGGTGCAAGTCTAGGCTCGGAACAATCCATCCATGTACGGCTGCAGTGTTACTGTAGCACCTTGTCAACACAATGATAACGATGCAGAAGGCATACTTGAAGTCGTAATTCTATTGAAATGAATAAATTTGAATTTGAACTACATATCAGTTTCAATTCGCACAAGAAAGTATATATGTTCGCAACAGTTTTAAGAAAGGCTTTTATAAACCTCTTATTTAACAACTCCCTCTTCAGAAAAAAAACAATGGCCAACGTTATAGAAATAGACTTGATTTCCGGCTAGCGGCAAACAAAATCAAATCTGAGCAACTCACACAAAATCCAAATCACGCTAGTTTAATGCGTCCCCGCACACTAAACGCGGGCACCATTTGCGCACGCAATGGTGCCCATGAGCGACCATGCGCGACCATGCGCGACCATGGTGGCCATGGCGACCAAAGCACGTAAACCAGCCCGCACACGGTGCGAATTTGGCGCGCTCCAACGGCGCTGAGCCAGAAAAATCAAACACGATAGATATTTTGCGCGCGCATTCGGCGGAGCGCCGTCGGCGCGCACCGAATGCGCACCATGTGCGGAGGCCTTTACTGCGTATTTTGCGAGTCACTGAACGGCCATATATTAGCTAAGACAGAGGTAGTTTTAGATAAACCCATAGTCATTGGGCAATGTGTGTTAGACAATAGTAACAAAGAGACTTCGTACTTCTATTGTCGCTTCTGCTACAGCTCTTACTTTTGCTGCTGTTGTGGCAGCAACGATGACAGTAATAGTTAGTACTGAATTCAGATAGTTCTCTATACTTGCACTAAGTAGACACTTTCTCTATTTTCCTACATTTCTACATTCCTACATATTCCTACGAGTGCATAAACTTGATACAAAAAACTATCGATGAATCTAAGCTAGCGCACTACATCATTATGCATCTATCATTCTGGTAAATCAATTTATGGGAGCATGCTAGGTCCACGCCAAACGTGCGGGCTGCCAGAATGTCAACAGTAACTCCGGAGTGACTTTGGGGCTCGGCCGGTTACTGGACAAGTAGTAAGTCGCATTTCGTAACAGAATAAAGATCCCTAATGAATCTGTGAGACCATTCCAAATTGGAAATACAACATTTTGTCATTTTGCACACCCTGTACCTTGCTCGCTTACTTCTATGTTCGCACTGAGTATATTGTTTTTCACCGCACCCTCATATCCCGAACATAAACGTCACATGTCCAACTCCTCTTGAGATATCAAGAATTATAGGCAATCATCTTGAAGGGCAAAAGTTCGGATCGTCATAAAGCAGCGTGGTTAAAACAAAATGGGGAACGTTAGATTAAGCCGCAAATCATTTTATAATATATAAAATGACATTTTATGTCCTCGTTACAATTCTGAATGGATGTCCACATAACATACACTGCCAACAATTCTACCCATACTATACTAATACACGAATAATCGACTCGGTGGTATCACAAAAAGGGAATTTTCGGTGCGGCAAAGTAGAAATATGGGAAGATATGAAAGCACCAATAGACGTTACTATAAATATGAAGGATTGTGCGCGTCATGCCATCGTAGGCGTTGTAGAGTATTTACACAGACACAAACTGCATACGCCGTTAGCACTCGATGCTGTTCCGGGTGGACTGGTTAGATTCGTGAATCGCAAGGTGTGTTTGCAATGTGCCGCAATCAATAAATAATTATTGACTATAGCAAAGAAAAACATGCAATAACCGAGAATTGGCAGGCTTACCTGCTGAGTGAACTATATGGACACTCGCCTGGCCGTGGTAAATATTTCCGCTCAGCCGCTATTCAACGTCGCAGGGTCTATATTTACCCGTATAACATTTAATCTGTGTATACTATGTGCTCGGGCCTGACATAATTTTATCAGGAGTACACGAACATAATTTCTATTCATGTACTCCTGATAATGCACAACTCCAATTGCCCCGCTGCTATTTCCATCCTCTTGTAAACAGGACATGAAAATTGCCGCTGTCCGCTTTTTACTAAAGCCGAACACTCCTGTCGCAGTAATCGCCGTTACGGATGATATTACAATTTTATAGAACAGCAACAGCACACGAATTAATAAATTGCGCAACTTTGTCACGTATGTCACATGCCAAGTAACACAGATAATATACTACTAGTTATATTACTAGCGGAAAATCTCTTGATTATCTGTGAAGGTATAATATTATATTACAAACAGATGTATTGTCTATTTTGTCGTTGGCCATCATTCAAAAATATTGTTATAACGATAGATTGCATTATTCGCACATAAACTATTAATTATACATTCAATATATATATATTATATATATTATTAATAACAATATTATAAATTCATGTCGTATATTTGCATAATATGTGCTTATATTTTATGCATGTGCTTTGGAGTGTATTGTCGAAGGATATTTTAATCATGTTGTAGCATTCGCATTACATGAAGCCATTATACAGACGTTTGCCATGCTGACAAATTCTCCTACAATTTCTATACGAAAACTGTCATTTTCCTAGTTGTGTGTATGCTGCGCTAATTCACACGAGAACACCTCACTATAAATACGCGCTGTATGGAATACATAGAGACTGTTTGTTGATGCCATCAGCATCAATCCATTTATTTATTTATTCTATTCATTCCATTCATTCTACACATCTCTCTCATCTCATCTCATTCTGTCATCATCTCTATACAGTCATGTACTCCGGGTGTCACGCCATCTCTATTTACCATCTGCATATACCATCTTTGGTGGCAAAATGTCGATCGTAGCGGGACATCCACGCGCTGTTTTTATAATAATCTATTAATGCATTTATGTACTCTCTATATCGCACGCCACTTTGTTCAAACTATAAACGCTACTGGATCTATAAACTCTACAGGGCCGTAGCCTGCGGGGGGGGGCAAGGGGGGCAGCTGCCCCCTTAGATTTTGGAACAAAATTTAAAAAGTTTATATATATTTTATTATAAAGTTTATAAAAAATTTATATCTATAGCAATAAATGTGTCTTTTGTTTGCCGGAAGTCGGCAAAACCCGCCATTGAACAAGGTAACTAGGATGGGTTGATTGGTGCTAAACTAGTAGTGGGCCGTGTAAAATCATTCTATTTGAATATTGAAACAGGCTAACAATCCTGTGGTTTATTTCGCATATGGCATGAACGATGGCAGTTCGTGCATAGTTTATATTAGCTCGACCAGGCTTTAGTACTGTTTCACGTAGTGAGGATCGCGAGCGAGAATAGGTAACTTACGCTGCCAGGGTCTATGTCTCCCTGGGTACTGCCGGAACGTACCCTGGTACTATCTAATATGCCGGACCGTACCTCGCCTACTCCACTAACGAGTCTAGGGAGTCGCCTACGCCTACTCCCTAACCCTAACCCTAATCCTAATCCTAACCCTAACCCTAACCCTAACCCTAACCATATCAGATAGTTACCAGGGTGCGCTCCGGTATACCGGACCGTACCCAGGGTACGTTCCGGCAGTACCCAGGGAGACATAGACCCTATCAGCGTAACTTACGGCTAGGTTCTACCGGTGTAGCCCCTTCGCTCCCGCTACAGGAATCTGTCCCGCTTCCTGTAGCGGGAGCAAAGGGGCTACATGGGTAAATTAAGCTAGGTTCATACTATTTCCAGGGCCCTAGCCTCTGGGGGGCAAGGGGGCAGCTGCCCTAGATTATGGAGCAAAATTAAAAATAAGCTTAGCTAATAATCGTAAATAACCCTAACGTGATTTTTTGGTCACTTATCCGTGAAAGCCTTATAGACGTCCATAGTGTGGTATAGGGGGTGGGTTTGAGACAATTGTCTCAGACCCACCCCTACCACACTATGGACGTCGATCAAGAGCTGCGCTCGTCGTTCATTATTACACAGTTAAGTCATGAAATTTTGCCCCCCCCCCCTAGGAATTTGCTCAGCCCACGGCCCTGATTCCTAAGAACGTACGTCAACAAATAAGCTCACCTTCGTTTTCAATTTGATTTCCACCTTTTCTTTTAATTTCTCGACTAAACTAAGAAGGTATTCCTGGAAAATGCCGATTCGTGTGAAGAAGCAGCCGTTTCCCCAGCATCCTTCCATATTTCCAAAATCCACGCCGAGCGTTTGCAGATATTTCACGCTCTGTGAATCCAGGGCGATCTGCTGTACCCTGCGTATCATGCCCCAGCGGGATAACTCCTCGTACAGAACGACCTTGGATGTGAACGGTGACCTAGCAGCGACGAGGGCGGCTGTGAGTCCCACGGGACCAGCACCGATCACTACGACTCTCGTCCGCGCCCAGTAAGATCGAAGCCTACGCGATCCCAGCTTTATGACAGTCGACGTGCATACGATGAGGAACGTCGTGAAGAATATCAGAGCAACGTCGCTAGCCGTCACTTTCTCTGCGTCTCTGGTCCTAGCCAGAGCGACCGCCATCGCTACGAAACTCTTCTCGCTTCGCCGACAAAACTGGAGGCAGGGTTCTGTCTCCTCGGAGTCTGTCCCCATGCAAATCATCCACAACTTCCGCGGCCCGCTTCTCTCACTAAAATATCACTGCCCGCTGCAGAGAGCCGATGGATTTCGTTGCTGTAGACCTCAGATAATCACGAGCGCAGAAAGCTACAGTCACCGCTGAGACGGAAAGTCGACGATGAAAACGCTGAATGTGAATATTGGGTTACGGTACCCAGACTGCGACACGTTATGCAGCAGCTTGTCCATACATATACACTGCGCTGTAATTACTCCTGCATCTACAGGGGGTGCAGATCATCTGCTAGTGCCGAGAAGCATGTCACGCACTGTCAAACGCTCATTTCTCTGTCGGCCTCGTGCGTCCTCGATCCAACTAACTATAGGTTCTTACGCAACCTTTTCGAAGCAACAACGACAGCGGCGGCAGCAGATGCAGCGACACAGGCGCTGGCTGGGCACACTATCACGAACGAGCAGGTATCGGCGAATGTCTATAAGCTCTACCAGCTTCGTGTCTGCGTGCGTGTGCGCATCGATTGCTGGGAGTGAATCGAGGGGGAGAGCGTGCGCGCTGCGCTAGCGGGCGGCAAGCAATTCCCTTCAAAACTAAATACAGGAATGTATATCCAATTTGCTTTGAACATATTTCCGGTAATGAAAATGTTCCTATTATAGATTGTATTTCTCTCGTTCAAAGTACGGTACATTAGCGAGAGCGAGGTTCTCATTTTACTATTGGTGTTTTAGATATAGAGATGTGATCCGTTTGAGATCGAGTTAATTTAGATAAAAGCGCGTGCTGCAGGCGCTCGGGTACCCGCGTTATATATTTTGCACGGTATGTTTTCTGTGTGTAGATGTGTTCTACACAATATGTCCATTCTGCTCTTAGCGCTTTCCATCTCCGTTTTTCTAGTCAAACTGACGTGACTTCTATTTGTGTATTTGGATTTGAAAGAAAGAGATTGATTGGGCAATTGCCGTATTATAAGTATAGGATTGGCGTCCCCGATGCTCCAGAAACACACACTCACGCGAGCAGGCAAGCATAGTCTTCCTTGGCGGGATATTTTTATGCTAAAATGTCTACACGCACGGATCTAAGCTTGGCACGCGATCTCGCCCTTAATCGACCGACTTAATGGCAAACGCGAGTAAATACACAAAGCGCCTGAGGCATTACGTAACGCCCGGTAAAACGCCTGTCACGTTCACCATGCATTCATGCATTAACGGCTGCTATTACCGCCAATACCGTTACGGGGTACTCGAAGTTACGTGGTTGCGACGATGTAATCAAAAGCTAATAATATGTTTTATTAGCTCTTGATGTGATCATATTAGAGCAATTTTTATAATCCCGCGTGGTACAGAGCATTTGCTTCCAACTATGATTCAGATAACACGACATCATTTACAACCGGTGTGGGACAAGAAGAGGTAGCACTGCGTAATGTCATTATATTTTCACTGCGATATGTAGTTTACCATAATATACAATCTATTGTGGGCAACCAGAGTAAGCTCTGCATTTAAATACAATGGCGTTATATTGTACTTGTGTATGTATTGACTATTCTAGCTGCATCTATTTCACTGACATGGCTATAGTATATACGCGCACAGACCAGAACATAAATAAATTCAACTGTCTGCAATACCGGATGTTAAATACGATCAAGGGGCAACCAGAAACGCATGATGAAAATTTCTTATGAGCACCTGGGGTTATAGCAACGATCGATATTCCTTCAAACAATTTGTGAAAATCCTCAGTCATCATGGTGGACAGCTCCTCGGACCTCGATCATATTCCTTACAAATGGGTGGACCTCTGAGGCTCGTATAAGCTAAGGTCGACTTATTTTCGTGACAGGGTAATGATCATTATTTCTCAGCAGGCAGCCGTTACATAACACCATAACGCCATAGCACTAGCACCTCACACATTTCTGTCGATAAAGGTCGACAAAGGAGCACATAGGATAAAGGTGCACACGCGATGATAAAGGAGCACATAGAATGCCAATATAGAGCTAACCTAGCTGACCCCTCTCGTTGTATTCATCAGAGCGTCTACGCATACGGTCGAAATGACAAGCTACACATATAATAGTCAGCAGGGACGAGCCCACAATCTGTGTCGAGTCAGACGGTTATTTGGCCAACGTGGCCAGACGTCATCGAACAAGAAGTCGCCTTATTACAATATCCGAATACAACTTCACTGTACTGCATATAACACTGAGCCCAACTGAATTTATCAACTATATCCTTCGAACCTTTGTTTTAGGTCCATGTATGAGGTGCGCGTGTACACGTGACACCCTTGTAAATATATATGTGTATAAATATAACTACGCTTGTGATATAAATAATAAATAATGATGAGATATTATGATAATAAATAAATAATCTTGGTGCTGGGTTCACGGTAAAACAACCCAAACAACACGCTCAAATAGTAGACTATCCCTACCCGACACAACACCCCTCGAGACATGCACCGCCTCATTTTATACTATTATACATATTTTACCACCTACAATATTTTACACATTTTAAAGGCTCAGGTTGAGTGGCTCACTGAGTTGAATGTACGCTATATCTCTGCTAATTATTTTCCGCATAAGACATAAACATTGAAGCTGCGATTATGAGGCACGCGTATGGTTGGTCATCGTACTCGTACTAAAAAATTATTTTTACCGCAGTAAAATTATAGCCCCTTTACCTTGTTACACATAATTTAACAGCGGGTAAATTATTTGTACCGGTGTTAAATTATGGGTAACAAGGCCTCTGATTGGGTAAAATGGGCTATAATTTCACCGCGGCTAGAATATTTCTACGCGTATTTCTGAGTATGATGGCTAACCGTACACGCTCAACTGTTCTATCAAGACGAACTGCAAACGTTGGAAATTGTCATCGTGTTTGGGCCTCTTGTTTGCTATGACGCTATGCGCCATGCAAACTTTACTTTCGTATAAGATATATCACCATGTATTGTTGTACGTCATATAGTTATATGACTGGCATGTGCACATCCGACATACACACGGGCCAATTGACCCGAGATAAAGATGGACCACCGACCACGTAAATCAAATAACGGACGCGTCGCGGGACATTTTGTGATGCACGTTGTTATCGCTGCTTCATTGCACGCAGATTTATTTGACAAGCATAGACTTCGTCAAGAAAGATGTGTTGTGGATAGATTTGACATGCATAGAACGCGCGTGTGCGAACAGACATGCACAGTACGTAATAGAGCGAACTAACCATCGCAGCAATTCAACGCGTTACAAAACCTGCGGGTTCGTGCGACGCTGTCTGTCACGTTGTTGCGCGTAAACATATAGACGCGGTTTCGCGCCGAGGAAGAGTCAGCTAGGACGTCGCTGTCAGACACATCGTAAAATTAATGCTAATGTTAATGCTAAGATAGCACTTAAGACTAATGTTAAGACTAATTTTGTTTCTGACAACGGGCCCCAGGGCGCCGGCTCACAGGACTTTAATCACGGGACTCGCCCACGAAGGCGACTTGCCCTGTGCTGAGCAGTGCGGTAGAACCATAGAAATAATATAGATAGACTAGTATATATTATTTCTATGGTAGAACACGTGCATGCACCAGGGGCGTAGCTACGGGGGGGGGCCTGGGGGCCGGCTCACAGGACTTTAATCACGGGACTCGCCCACGAAGGCGACTTGCCCTGTGCTGAGCAGTGCGGCAGAACCATAGAAATAATATAGATAGACTAGTATATATTAGGCCTGGGGGCCCCCCACAAATTTTCTGTGCCCCCCAGGTGCCCCCCCCCCCACTGAAAAAATCCTAGCTACGCCACTGGCATGCACGCCGACTCCCTACCTCCTCAATCTAATGCGGG